CCTTCTCCCCCCGAGTGGCCGAGCCACCCCTCCGGCCCCAGCACCGCTAAGGGGGCTTCAGTGACCAGAAACCCAGCAGGAGCCCGAGCCCTCCGGCACAGTAAAAACCATGGCTGGAAAAAAAAACCTATCAGCAAAATTACACTTTATTTTTTCGTTGTGGAATTTACTTTGATGTATTGTAACTTAAAAGGGTCTGAAAAAACCACATGCAAAAGGGTTTCTAAGTAGCAGCTAAAGTTTCTATTCCAGCATTACAAGCTACTCCAAATGATTTCCAAATTCCCAGCTATAAACTATTCAATAAACAAAGTTTTATCTTTAAACCCCCTCCACCCTACCCCAGTTAGTGCAGTGCAAAGGAAAAACCCGAGGAATTTACATATTATTTTCCAACATATCCCATTGTAATTTTGAATGATCTGCGATGAACTAAAATATATATACAATTTTCTCGCCATCATAAAAAAACATTTCCCTTTCTTATTCACAGATATATATTGTGGCAAATGGCTGAATTACTTACAAACAAAACAATCTTTATAACGAGTTACTTACAACAGTAAACACAAGACGAGGAGCTCTGGGAGGAAGGGGGGTTTGGCAGGGCTGGGAGGGGAGCGCAGGCAGCAGCGGAGGTCGGGGCTCCCTTTGGGGCGCACGGGAGAGCCAGCGCCATGGTCCCCGGGGCAGAGCACGTGCCCTTCAGAGGGGATGCCCTCGCCGCCTTGCAACGTCAGCCACGTTAAACAGGAGGGTCGTGTAAGGCTTTAGGATCCGAGGCGTAACAGGAGCCATCTTGAGTTTGTCTCAGGTGTGTGCGTGCATCTCATTCCCCTTAAAAACCCCCTCATCCCCCTCTGGGCACCGGAGCGGGGGCCCTTTGCTTTGCCCAGGAGGAGCAGGGCATTGCCAGCTTCCTGCTGCCTGCACCCCCAGGGTTCCCCTTGCAAATGGGACCCCTTGAGCGTCCCCCGAGCTGAGTGCCAAGGAGGTGGCCGGGAGAGGTTAGCACCAAACAGTACCGTGGGAAAGCCCCGAGCCCCCTCTGCGTCCCCGTCACCTCGCAAAGCGAACCCCCCGTGGGTGCCCGCCCCGGGCAGACCCCAGCTGCATCCACCCCACCCCAGTCCAGTCCTCCCATAGCACCGAGAGCAGGAGCACTCACAGGGCTCCAGGAGCAACGGCAGCAAAGCAGGGCAGCTCGGGGCTTGTCACTGAGCAACACCACGTAATTTCCAAGTTAGCATCTTCCCCTTCTCCTTGAGAGCCCCAAACCCTCCCATTTATCTCCTGGAGCAGGGCACTGCTGCTCCTTTGCAACAAGGGTTTGGATGCAGCCGTGGCACCCCCGTGCCAGGGACTGAGGGCATGGCCACCGCTCACCCACCCAACGCCAGCGTGTCCCAGACCTGTGCCTGCGTGATGCCCAGAGCCCGCACCAGGAACACGGTGCCCCACGGCAGGACCACCGCAAGTCCCAGGGGAACAACATCAGGGCATGGAAGCACCAGCACAAAATGCCACTTATTTAGAAAGGCTGGAGGGCATCTCCAGGGGCTTAGAAATTGGGTAAAGTTGTTCCCTGCCACACACCCACACACGTATTTGTTCATATTTGCACTTCAGATGGAAATTCTGGTGCTGAAGAGTGAATCCAGTGCCCAGCAGCAGACGATGGCCAGGATCTCCACCCAGCAGCTCTGCCTCCCAACCACGGGGGCCACACTTTGGAAAGGACAGACTCGGACGGACGGTGCTCAGGACACAGCGGCGATGCCAAGACAGACGGACCTTTACTTGACAGCAGCAGCAGTAACAGCCTGGAGGAGGAAGAGCAGGGGCCACGCTCACAGCCCCCCAAAGTGCACACAGCTGGAGAAGAACAGATGCTTTCACAACTTAGCGAGAGACCTGGAGTTGATACCGTAGCCCTTACTCAGGTGGGTTCAGCGAGGTGGGACAGGTCACGGCTGCAAGAAAAATCCGCCTGGCTCGGGGGGTCCTGCCCGCAGGAGAACCAAGCTGGGAGCAAGGGTAGGACAGACCCACGGCCACCCGCTCCTGTCCACTCCTCTGCATCTACCAGATGCTGTGGTGGTCTCTAAAATGCTTGTGTCGCAAAGCACATCTCCAGTCCTGCAACGCATCGAGACCTCCTGCTCACCAGTGGGACCAGTTTGCACCCTGGGCTAACCCCTCCACCCGCAGCAAGACTGGTGGGACCGAAGTTGGTTGTAAAAAAAAAAAACAGTCTTGAGATGCCACATTGGCTCTTTTCCCTCCTGACCTTCAGGTCCTCTTCCAGCCTATGTCTGATGGTCACAACACGCTCCTGGCGTCAAAGCTGGCATCCTTCAGAGCTGAGCAATAGCCGCTTGCTCCTCCCAGGTCGGGTGTCCCCGCTCGGCCCCCTTGCCCCAGCCAAGGTGCCACAGCAGAGCTGCTGGGAGACTGCCCAAATCCTGACCCAGGAGCCCACCTGAGCAGCGTGCCAGGGATCTGCGTCCTCTCCTCGGGGCCAAGTCGCTCCCTCCCCTTAGAAACCCCCAAGTCCTCACCTTCGCACACCCGGGCACCAGCCCAGGCGCAAACCTTCAGCCTCACCCTCCCACCACCACCACCACCGCAGTGGGTTTTCAAACACCTTTAGTCAGGGGTTTGGAGGACCCCATCCTCCGGTGGGCACCAGCACAGAGTCTCTCAGCTCTGTCCATGCTGCGGAGCGCGGCTTTCCCGGGACTCTTCTGCAGCCGCTACACGAACGTTGTCCGACAGACCGGCCATCTTCTATACACGTAAGAGGAGCGAGGCGGGCAGCGGCCCCGGCACACGCGCGCACACACATCCCCGCAGTCATTGCACCCCCTCCTCTTCCACGTACGTCGAGGGAAACCAGCCAACCTGTCGGGGAAGCGGAGAGGTGAGCTGGAGACTGGGGAGCTGAAGGGGCCTCCTGCCCTGTCACCGTCCCCTGCCACCACGCGCCGTTCCCGGGGAGCCATCGTACGGTGCTGGATGCGCCCAGATCCCGATGCGCGGTGCTGACGGGGAGGCCGTGCAGCCGTGGCCCTAATTTGGGATGGAGCTAGCTGGAGAGTTGGGTGGAAAGGAACCTCATGAAGTTCAACAAGGGCAAGTGCAGGGTCCTGGGGAGGAACAACCCCATGCACCAGTACAGGCTGGGGCTGACCTGCTGGAGAGCAGCTCTGCAGAGAGGGACCTGGAGGTCCCGGTGGATGACAAATTGGCCATAAGCCAGCAGTGTGCCCTGGTTGCCAAAAAGGCCAATGGGACCCTGGGGTGCATCAGGAGGAGTGTGGCCAGCACGTCAAGGGAGGATC